GAATTATTTTTTGTTTTCTCCCAAAGAGGAGATTTTATTTGGGTCGCCAAATAAAATATCAATATATCCTCCATAATGTTTTATTTAACATTTCTACCTGCAGTACTCTTTTCAGCCACATGAAGGAGCCTGAATGTGCGTATTGTTCCGATAATTGTCTATTTACATATCAATGAATCTAATATGAAAGGCTGCTGAACATTCTGTTTGTTTAACTGATGAGAGGAAAGTAAACAGCAGCCTGTTAACTAAATGCATTCATTTGGTTTTATTCAAAAAGTACATATTATATTGTTTAAATTGTATAATGTTTTAATTTAAATAAATATCTGTTTCGTCACTATCGACCACCAAAGGAGGTAACACAGTAATGATTGAGCCTCTGATGACAGTGTTGTAATATTTATAACTGCGACAGGTGAATCTCTCCACCCACTCCTGCTCTCACAGAGATGACATTCAAGCTTGAGACTTTTGAACACTTTGTCTGTCCGACCATCCCACTGGAGCTCCGTGTGAAGAGGTTTTGTCACGCTCCTTCCTTTGCTTCAATCAGTTTTATTGCAGAAGCACAAGAGGTCCTTGAAGGGAAAACAGAAACGTCGGTGGTTTCAAGTGAGTTCTGGTGAGGACAGTATCTTTGGGCTGATCAGTAACAAATATGAATTTGATATATTTCTGTGCCTCTGCACCAGAGGCATTCAAATATATATATAATAAAATACAATAAATACAATTGAGGTGAACTGCGACATGGAGGCATACAACCACGAGGCGGTAATTTGAGTATTTATATGTAATTGTAGCATCGGGGCTACAAAATAAAAGACAATGTGTCAAACACAACACAAAACACAATCTCGACATAAAATATATATTTTTAAAAGCCACACTCCCCCATGCAAAAGTTACAGTGGCAGCTTTTTCTCTGCATCAGATCGGCGATGACATATTGCACGCATCAAAAAACGGAATGGATGAATGTCGAAGAAGGGTAAAGAACGGAGAGGAGGACAGGAGGAGCGGAAGCGTCGGGGGAGAATGAAAAAAAGAGGAGAAGGGATGGAATATAGCCGGAAGGAGGCGGGCGAAGGCAGCCCGTCCTTTGTGGATTGTGGAAAGGTCAATTAGACAGTTTACAGGCCGCCGTCGCACAAAAGTACACGCCACACACACACGCAACCTCAGACGCACACTGAGACACGAACAGAGGTTTGAATTTCATTATCAGGCTGCCAACCTGCCCATCAATTAGCATGAGTAAGATTGTATCACCTCTCGCTGAGGGAATAGGCCTGAGATCACAGCTACGTGCAGTGATACGCACTTACTGTATCGGCCAGGTGTTTCTATTACAACCGTGCAACGTTAAACAAGGCATTTTACTTCACTTGTGTTGCAAAAATGTATCTGTGAAGTCATAATTCCACTTTTTCTGGGGGAGGATTAATCAATTTGGGAATCATTTTAAAATCATTTGTAATCAAATGATACGAAGCAACATGAAAACCACCAAAAAACAATCAGCAGTGCCAAGTAGTTCAGAGAGGAGTGGAAGGAAAGTACAACAGTGAGTGTGGAGATTAATGGCAGGATGGTGACGGAGCACATGAGAGATGAAAGAGAGAAGAGAGAGAAGAGAGGGATGAGAGGGTGAGGACAGGCTCGATGGGCCGTCTCCCGCGGCAACACTGTTGCCGATGGACACACACACACACACACACATGAATATTCAAAGAAGTAAAAAGGGAGAGAGCTTCATGCTATATTCATGCCATTTTCAATAAGGCATATTTCAATTAGAGGAGGAGAGGTTCATTTATTATCAAGTAATGCCGTTTCAATTATACATTTGTGAATTAGAGGAGATAGGAGGGGAGGGGAGGCTGAAAGACAAAATGGAGAAAGGAGGAGGAGAATTTGGTACAATACTTAAAGGAATAGTTCGACACTTATTTGCCGAGACAACCTTCTCATCTAACGCTCAGCAAAAGCAAAGCTTTACAGAAATCAATAAATCGAATGCTCTACACCAAAAAAAGTCTTCCACAAGCTGCTAGCTTGACATCCAGCATTTGTAGCAATAGCCACGAAAGATAATGCTCCATAAATGTAATTATTCGATGAAATTGTTTCGTAGGTTATCTCCGTAATCATGAACGAGGTAGTATAAGGACTGGAGGAGCCCGCTGCTTGATCCCCGTGTGAAACTAGAACTTTGATATTTGTGTCACGTAACTTGCGTACTCTAGGAACATTACTTCCGTGGTGATTTTAACCCAAAACGAAGATCTATTCCTAAACCTATTTTTGTTGCCTCAACCTAACCTAGTGTCCGAGAAAGAATTCATTTAGAAAAGGCCGTAGCCTACGCATGTAACGAGAGACAATTGACACGTGTTGCTGGCTTTCGTGGGAAAACGCATGAAAAATGAGGAGGAACTTTTCGTAGGATATCCTACGAAACGTTGTATGAAGATACGATGTTTATAGATAAGAACCATTGTGAATTCAGTCGTGAGTGGGTCATGAGAGAAAGCGTTTGGGAAACACAGGCAGAGAGAGACAGGAAATGACGAGAGAGAGGAAGAAGAATGTAGACATTGGACAATTGTGCAAAACTCTGGAAAACGCACGGAAAACGAGGAGTAACATTCGTAAGATATACGAGTAATTGTATGAGGATACTTTGCAGTGTTGCCAACTTGGTGACTTCCTCGTTTCGTAACTTTTGGAGCTAATGCTGCTAGCTGCTTTCATAGGACAAGAGCTGGCAGCACTGGACTGGGTATGTCCGTTGTATAATTTAAAAAATCTTGCTAGCTTCTGAAGATTACCAAACCCATAGCTTTAACATAGTTTTATACTTTCAGGCTGAACCTGCTGAGTTATCAGAGTCTGTTTCAGAGTGATTGATGCTTACCTTGGATTGAAGGACACGACACACGGCATACAATAAGTGTGTGTTGCAGCGTGATGGACGTTTACCTTGTGCGAGAGATTATCTCACTCCCAACGAGAGGCTCTGTCTGACCTTGGCTGATTCTACTGTAATGTATTTTCCTTCCCTTCTGTTATAACTCAGTCTCATCACTATTTCTCCATAAAACACACACACTAACACATTATTCTGTATGACTGCTGCAGAGAAAGATACAATCAATAAGGCAAGATTTCTGTCGCATTAAAAAGTGTGAAGATACTTCACTATGAATTGAAAGAAAACTGTGTATTATCTTATGTTGTCTTTGTACATACATGTCAGATCTGCGGCCCATGAATGTAAAGGGAAATACCAACATCATGTGCACATTTCATTAATATCATAGCTGTTTTAATGCATTTTCAGCGTGAATTAAACAATGCCGGGTTACTATTTAATCTGAGATCTGTTAAAGTTAGCTATCATATGTTTAACTCAAATGCTTTATTGTTATAATATGTATCTTACATACATTTATGTTTAATAGAAAATGCATCTCCTGCAAAAAATGCAAAAAAACTGTGGTATGCAAAATTGTCTTTTAATATGACAAACATTAAATGGCACATTTCGAATGTGATCAACACAAATATTTGTCTCTGAATAAGACTACGTATGCATATAACGGACGCTATAATCGATGGATTTTGCAAATAAAAACAACGGAGTGAAAAACCATGTCAGCACAAAAGAAATCAATACATGCACTAGATATGAAATCATTACATAACCACGTCAGGCATTATCGGAGGCTCTGCCCTCATGGGACGAGACAAAAAGAACAAAACGATTCTCTGCCGCTACTCCCTTAAAATGACATTTGTGCCATTAAGAGACAAAGACAGAGTTCTTTATCTCCCAGTGACACCTGGAGCTTTTCTCTCACACTCAATAGATGCAATATGGGAATGTTCCTTTTTTTTCTGACTTCCTTGTATTGTTCTTGTGAGTCTGTATCGGTTTGACTTGCAGTGGAATTCTGGTATTTCCTCTCTGCTTTGCTGGAAAATTTGGCCCCAAAAGAAGAGAAATTCAAATACTTTTGATTTTGAATTTGTCTTCCAGTCCACAACAGCATAAGTGACCGTCGATCATTACTGTAATTGAGCTCTAAATATGTTTGGAAACCTGTTTTTCTTTGGACCTTCTGCATTCTACTGAGTTGTTAGATTTAATAGGTTTGTCAGTCCACAGTTACACCGCTATTCCATTAGTGCTTACCCTAGTTCAAGGTAAATTCCAGCTTGTTAAAGGCAATACTGTGCACTTGACACTGAAACAGGAATCTGTTAAATCTGCAAACATTTGGATGCTATGCCTCCATTTTCTTTTACCAGTGACTTGTGATTTCTTCTAATCTTATTCAACCGTTGCTCACATTGATCTTTGTCTTTCTTCTTTCTGCAGATACATTTGAAAGCTGGCATCATTCAGTGAAGCTCAAACACCATGTGGAGTAATAAGGGGGACTTAAAGACAGACGTCCTTCTTCATCACTTCATTTTGAGGACCTGTCTGTTGGGTCCCTGTGTCAAATCTTCTTATATTAGGGGGCCAAGTAACTACACAGGTGCACAAATTAATGTAGATATACACGTTGCATTTTCAAGCTCAAATCAATCTTCTGCATAAATTAGGTTAATTTGCACGAGAAGTAACTGCTCAATATCAGAGAGTGGCCTCTATCTCTCATTGCCAGTTATCATGTGTTTTGTCATGTGTTTTTTTTCCTTTTATTCCTTCATAGCTTTTCACAATATTGCCAACCTCTCTCTCTCTCTCTCTCTCTCTCTCTCTCTCTTTCTCTCTCTCTCTCTCTCTCTGAGAGCGTGGTGCCACACGCGAGGGGACGCGAAGGCACAGGCGCAAGCTATTGACAAGCCGCTCCGTCGAATCAGACGAAAAGGATCCACCTTGAAACGGGGTCCCAGCCAATCATCGCGCGGGGGAGGTGGCCCCTATGCAAATGTGTTGGCATGGGAGACGCAGCGGTTCATTCATCTTCTTAAACAGAGAGAGAGAGAGAGAGAGAGAGAGAGAGAGAGAGAGAGAGAGAGAGGTGAGTTAAACACGAAGGTTATTTTGCATGAGGGAGGAACTGCTTTGGACCAAAACAGTGCGGTGAAATTAGCTGCAGAGCAAAGAAGCGGAATCTTGTTTTAAAGCTGCGAGGAGCTTCTTCTTCTTCCAAACATTACAGAGTAAGTGGAGGACATTTGGTGTATTTGTGCCATCATGTTATTAATGTGTATGTAAGTGTTGGTCGCATATTCCTTTTAACTGCTTTTGAGTCCTATACTGAGAGAAACAATAGGTGATGAGACAGGAAGTCGTGGTTTTACTGGTCTGCAATTCAATTCAATTCATTTCGTATAGCCCAAAATCACACATCGCAAATGTGCCTCAGAGGGCTTTACAGTCTGTACGTATAATCAAAGGTGTGTCTGGTGTCTTCAGGAGGAACTGAACCATTAACCCGAGTGTTACACTTATTTATTACTACAAATGACTCAAGTCAAGGTTGCAATTATACTGGACTGCCTCATTGAGGGGGTTCAGTGTCTTGCTCAAGGGCACTCTGGGCTGAAGAGGCAATCCAACCTGCGACCCCCTGTTTTCAAGAAAAGGGACACTCTGTTGACCCGATCCGCTGTGGGGGCGGCAAACATGATCGTGCTCGTGTTGTGCCAGAAGTCGGTGCCAGAATGTCCTTCATGCTCCCGGAGCAATCAATAGATGAACCAAATAAGGCTCTCTACCTGCGTGTCGCACCACTGTGTCTGGACTCCCTGCTCTGCACATATAGTGCATTAATACGCATGCATATTGGATCATATGTGTTTATTTGTCTGTGCTTGAGGAATGCAGCTGCAGGGTGTGGGTGCATTCGGAGTGGCTGGTAGTTGCAGTAACTCCTTTGTGCATAAAGAGTTGGTGAGCAAAAGTCATTTTAAATTGGTTTGCACGAGTAAAGTCAGAGAGAAACACAGCAGGCGGAACAAGTGGTTCAGTTCTATCTGCGTGACCCAGTCAGGTTCAGGTTCAAGTTACTTTTATTTGTACCCGTAGGGAGACTTGGTTTGCAATAGAATAGTCCTCTGTGAATGACACCAGGTCCGGCACCATTGATAGGGACCGGCTGGTCCACATTACCGGTGGCCCTTCAGCCTGGGCTGTGCATCAGAGGGTCATATACCAGATGAGTTATTGCATCACAGCAACTGACCCGCGGTTGTGTCTGCGTATTTGCGCGCCTCGCTGGATCTATGCATCGATTGTTTTCATATACGATGCAAAGCAGCAACGCGACGTTGCACAGCGACACAAACACACCAGCGGTGGGCGCTTCTATATGACAGACAGCTGGCGTCTCGGTTTGGCTGAACAGTGGCGGATCTTTAGTGCACGACGGGTGTCGGTGCCGTGAAGGACGCACACTCTGTCACATTATGTGTTAACTCTAGTGATGCATGAATGTATCAATGCAGATATAAAATGGTTTTGCAGCAGTATGATTGCTCTTCTTGGCTCTTCATTAAGCCGATACAGTTGGTCCTGTTCTGCTTTATAACTGCAACCCACGTTTACACTCTCAGAAGATGGTGCATAGTTTAAGAGCCAGGCTGTCTGAAGTGGTGCTGAGCGTCCCACCAGGGAGCTATCACAACCATCATCATTCTAAACTGTTCTGCTATTTAAAGAGCCTCCATTTCACTTAGAAAAATCACCAATCAATCCCTCTGTTCTGCATAAGAACTGCAGGATTGTTCACAGAGAGTTTTACAGGAGATAATAAATAAACACTCAGTGGGCGCTTTATTAGGTACAACTGTACAAACTATTCCAATTCAGCAATAAACTTTATGTTCAGATTTTGGTAACATTGTCAGAAACTGTTCTGTTTTTTGGTCTTTCCATTTCGACACACCGGGGGAGCAGAATATTAGGAACACTTCTCAGTATAAAGCGATCCATCAGTAACTACGACCTGAGGGCTGAAACATGATGGAATTAACACCTTTGTGACTGTGACAAAAAAAGAGCAACCCTTAAAGGCATCATACAAGGACAGCAGAAGTTGTTTGTATTGCATTAGAATAAACAGGTGTACCTAATAAAGTGGCCACTGAGGGTTCATTCTGTGTGTTTCTCACATAGACTGTATAAGTCGTAGACGTCGTCACCGTGAAGTCACCCATTGGTTTGTGAACCGCTGTATTGAAACCTCGAGTTCGGCATTTTGACTGTCGCCCTCCTGGCTTTTTGGTTGTCACAGATTTTGACTAAATGAACGTCATGCTGTATTGAAGAAGACTTGAAACTAGAGATTGAGACCATAAACCCATGTTTACAATGTTTACTGAGGTAATAAATCAAGAGAGAAGTAGAGTCATTTTCTCATAGACTTCTATACAACCAGAGGAGTCGCCCCCTGGTGGACACGAGAGAAAATGCAGGTTTAATGCACTTCAACATTGGCATCACTGATCTTTTAATACATGGACTAACAACAATAAATCGCTTTAGGAGTGATATCAACGTCACATTTTTGAGTTTTAGATGTTGGTATTTCCATCAAGGACTGTACTTCTAACTGTTGAGAGCATAGACTGCAGAATCATGCCTGATGGTTAGCTGCAGAGCTGCTCTTAAGCTGTAAGTAGACTCTGTCGAGTGATAATCCAAATAAAGAACACAAAGCTTTCACTACTAAACGCTTAAGTGCTTTCTCATTAACCTTTACTTTAAGACTGTTTATAAACATACGCTCCCATCGCTTTTTTCTCATTTATGCTATCTCTAAACGGTACATTGTTATTGTATATTCTCAATCAGTCTTTCCACGATTTACAGAAGTGCTACTCAGTGGTGTATATTGCTATAGAGCCTCCATGTGATCCACCACCATCATTTTGGTGTCTATGTTCTCATCGCATAAGACGAGCAACAGGCTTTTTACCTAAAGATGCAGTCAGTGGATTGTTTGGGTCTCTGCAGGGATGATAGTCACAGTCATAGCTCCCTGTCATTTACCACAGGAGGTGGAAAGAAGCTACAGTTACACATAACAGCTCATTGATGGATCGCTGGATGGGGGGATCACATGATCATAGCGACTTCCTCTACTCTGGAAATACCTATTGATCCCCCGTTTGTAGAGCACACATCAGCTTGGAGTAACATGTTGCACTACAATGACCTGCCTGCGTCCGTCCGTGCATGTGTGTGCTGTTTGTTTTTCCGCTGTCTTCATTCAGCAGTAGATGAATGATGCTGCCACACCCACGGCCAACCACACACACACACACACACACACGCACACACACACACACACACACACACTTTTTTGTATCTCTTTCTTTGCCTCCCTTTGTATCACTTCCATTTTGTCGTAAGCCTGTGACCAGGTGTACTATGCATGTCTCATGCATCACCGACTCATTGTGTGTGTGTGTGTGTGTGTAGAAGGTGGCTGCTGCATGTGTGTGTCCCTTGACTGATTGATTCATCCATTCCTGTCACATGCTTTATTACCCAGGGAGACAGATGTTGGAAAATGAGGATGGGTGTCTGAGTGTGTGTGTGTGTGTGTTTGTGACACACACTCATGGACCAGCTGATAGTGGTTGAGCAACAACAAAGGAATGATGAGTGAAGGAGATTGGCGTAACCGGCTAATAACTAATGAACACCCACAGTTATCAGTGGACACCATTGATGGAGAGTTCTCCAGCGGCGTAACAGATATAAGAGAGTAATCGATGAGGTGACATACACCAGTGTGAGGATCGTACAGCGAAGACAGAAGTCATTTATTTTATTCAACACAATTTCAATTTATTTATCATTCAATGTATTTCTTTGGTATTCATTAGTCACATTTGGACTTTGACCGTGTGACATTTATAAGACTGGATGGAGAAGCATTTCAAGCTAAATCGTGCAGCACATTTGTTTTATTTGACCTTAACACTGAGGGGGTCAAAGTGCCTATTGCAATAAAAAAATAAAAATTAAAATAAACTGGAGTATGGCTTGAGCATATTTCTAATAAATTGCACATCTTAGTTTAAATACTAGCTGTCGACTAAATTTATTGAAATTATCTCCGTCTCAAACTCTGGCACAGAAACCAATATTTGATCATTTCTGCCTGTTCCTTTAGTTACATCTTAATATGAGACGAACAGATTTACATTTAATTTACAGTAATCTTTAATTCAGTACTCTAGGTCCTGAATAGAAACCAATATGTGTGTTTGTTTTAAATTCATTCATTTACAGATTTACACATTCCTCCAACAGTCTTAACTCAACTGACACAAAAATTGCCCAGAGGTGTGAATGTGGGTGTGAATGCGTCGGCCAGTCTTCACTGTATGAGTCAGTCTTGTGATAGACTGACAACGTGTCAGGGTAAAGCCTGCCTCAGGCCCAATGCATGCTGGGATAGTCTCCCCTGGTTTAGAACACTGGACAATAACATGCCTCCATATAGTCGGTTACACAGATATTCAGTCAGAACAAATGGAACGAGGATTATTACACCTGCAATCTTTAATGGGACATCACTAAACTGTCTGTGCATTGTCTTGAAATGTATTTGTTTACATCATTCCTGTGGGTGCTCATAGAAAACAAAGCATCTCTGCAATGTCTTTGATTATTTTATCAAGACATTTCTAATAGTACACTTCTGATTAAATGGTAACTTGCATTCATAAACCAGCTTTCTATTCTTTCGACCACTCAAAGTGCTGCAAAATACAAGTCTATGGTTGAATTAGGGCTCGTTCGAGATGAGCCAGTCCAACTTAGAACCGATCACTGGCGATCGCCGCACAATGCATGCCGGTCAGGTTTGTGTCCGACTTAATCCCGACTCGCTCTGACATCATGAACACGTGGTCAACGATAAACTCACGAGATCGAGGCGGCCGCCGTTTTTAGAGCCAGGCGCCGCAGTAGCTCTCCACCGACTGCATGACCCAATGCATGATGGGAAACTGATAATAATAAAGGTTATTTTATACAACACATATCAAAGCGAGCAGCAAAGTGTTTCACGGGAAGAAATAAAAAGAACAAAGGATAGCATACAATACAGATACACGCACCTTTCCACATAAATATATATTTACAAACACATATGAATAAATCCGAACGAAGTCTGCAGACTTTAAGTAGTCTACAGGTCGGA